TGGCACACATTACTACCAGCTCTAGAATTAGCATATAATAGCAGCATACATAGCACAACAGGAAAAAAGCCTTTTGAAGTAGAAAGAGGCTATTGTCCCAGATTACCAAAAGACCAGATAAAAAACAAAAATGTTGAATTTCATCCAACTTCCTTAAGTTTCTTTGATATGCTTGGTAAAGCAAGAGCTAGAGCAGCGCAATGTATTGAAGATTCTGTAACTTACAATCAAGAAAGATGGAATAAAACCCATAAAGAACCTAAGTTTGTAGTAGGTGAACAAGTTTTACTCTCAACCACCAATTTTACTAATCTACAAGGACCTAAGAAACTTCAAGACCAATTTATTGGACCTTTTGTAATATTGAAATTCCATGGAAGCAATGCAGTGGAAGTAGCATTGACAGAAGAATTTGGGAGAAAACACCCAGTATTCCCAATTTCACTAATAAAAAAATTTCATGCTTCAGATAAGAGCAAATTCCCTGACAGGGAAATACCCAAGAAAACTCCTATCAGATTTGAAACTGACGGAGAAAAGATTTTCTCACATATCATAAAGCAAAGGGAAATACAAGTCAATGGTAAATCTTCAACACTTTATCTTGTAAGATACAAGAACAGAAGTGCAGATGAAGATGAATGGCTACCAGCTGATAAAGTACCCAACCTTGAAAAGACATCGACCGTCTTTTGAAGTCTTCAAACGACAATGATGAGAAACAACAAGAATTTAACAGACTTGTCTTCTGGAATGTCAGCCCTGGGAACATATACATGTACCCAAAACTAACTTATAATATTGTACTTTTACTTATAAACCTTATTACATGTACATACAGCTTATAAAACACATGTAACATATAATAAAACATATACAAACACCAATTACATATGTATATACACTTAAAAACATATGTAACATGTAATAAAATACCAATTACACCTCATAACTCAGTGTCAAGAGTTCAAATGCTTATACTACATAAAATACATAACACGTATATGTAATTATGTTATATTAATAATAATAATAATTAATAGTAATTATTGAACCCTAAACCACAGTGATGATACAATCAAATATCACTACAATTAGGTTTGGAGAGGAGGATATATAAACCCCTCCTCTCTCAGCCTTCAAGGATTTCCCCTCAAGCATTTTATTACACACCTCTTTTAAAGAACACTTTAAAGTTCAATTGAAGTATATAATCAAGAGTCTTATAATAAATAAGACTAGTGATTCACTTCATTTCTTTAAGGAAGTTCCTGACTAGAAGACAAAGTAATCTCATCCTTCACCCCCCTTTTCCTTGGATCCTCTACTTCCCCCAAGTAGAACTCTTCCTCAGGTTAGTGACCTTCCAATAAACCATTAGGCTAGTCACCTTCAGAACAACTACAGGTTAGTGACCTATATCAACTCATAGGTTAGTGTACCTACAGAACAACTACAGGTTAGTGACCTACATCAACTCCAGGTTAGTGACCTCTTGAATAACTACAAGTTGGTGACTTTATTACAACCAGGTTAGTGACCTCCATATCACTCTTCAATCAGTTACCTTGAAGATTGAAGGGGAGCCTTGGATCCAGCTTTCAATAATAATATTATAATTAAACCCCTGAACCTCCTTTTAAGGAGTCATTTAACTGAAGTCTGTCTGGATTTATCCAAACAGACCAGTTCCCTTCTTCCCTTTTTCTCTCTCTTATCTTATAAGTTTATTGTAATACATTATATTTGAAATATAACTTTAGTTATCTACAATTACCAACCCAACTTGCCATTATTAGTGAGCCTTGAGTATTCTTTTGAATACCCAACCCTCACATTGTTTGATAGGCCTCACACACCACCTCCACCACCTCCAACTTGAATCTGAATAGATCGAGATCGAGCTCAGTGTGCTGATCGATTGTATGATGACTATGTCACACCTGAATTTTTGAGGTGTCTCACAAAACTATAAGATGTAGGGTGATATTGCACATTCAGATTTCATTGTAGCAGAAATTTACAAGGACAACAAGAGTATTTCATGGTTAATTAATAATGATAATCTACACAAGTCGTGAGTAAAGTTGAAACAAGTAGAGTAAGGGTTGTTTTTATGATAGGAAAAATATCAACCCTTGATTGAAATCGATTCGATTTGAAGGATGTTCCAAAATATGGTGTATTGAAGTCGACTTTTGAGGATGAGGTTTGAAGTTTGAAGGCTGAGCTTTGGACTTGAAGTTTGAAGTGTTGAAGTTGAGGTTTTGAAAAATAAGGGGTTTCAAGTTTAAATGTTTTATACGGGTTTTTAAAAATTTGGTCAAGTTTTATACGACACTGTAAGATTTTAAATTTGACCGTTTATAAAAATCAAGCACATCAAATAATTACCGTCGTAAAACGAATCGAAGCGGTGAATGTATTGTTCCGAGGTTTGGGGACATTTCCTTTGAAGATAATGACGAGATGGCCTTCTTGACCAATCTCATGTTTGAAGATGTGGTCAACACCGTGATTGGAAAGGTCAAATCGTTGACCAAATGATTTTTAAAAGCGTATGTTTACGCTAATTTCAAAACGGGAGACGTAAAAAGGTCTCCCGTTTTGAAAATATTTTACGTAAAATTTACGTCTTCATCCAAGTTTTCAAAACGTAAAAATACGGAAAATCTTGAACTTGAAACCCCTTAATACAGTTGTTGATTGATTATCCTACGATAAATCAAGTCGTAGGCTTGCGTAGATCTGAACACACGGAGTGCAAGATTTGACGTGGTCGTACGGACTGCAGGTCTAAAACAGGTCCATAGTGGACCTGTGGGTATTTTAGCGTTACGGTAACGCTAAATCATGTTGTTAACGCAACCATAGTGGGTGCTCTAACACTTTAATACTCAATAGATGGACACACGCGAACCAACAGACCCACTCAACAACCCTCTCCTTTGTACCCTTCAACTCGATCACAGCCATCCTTTCATCTTATTCAAATTTAATCAATGACATCATTTGATCTTGGATCAATATCGTAAGTCCTTTCATTTTCTAACTCTTTAGTTTCTTCTTCTTCTTCTTTAGTTCTTTCATCTACTAATTGGTTAATTCATTCTCTTTTTTTCATCTTAAGCTTGATTCCTTTCAGTTATCTCCTTCCTAAATCAATCGATTCAAATCTAAATTCTAATTTGTAAGTCTTTTTATCTTCATTATCTTTCTTTTAGTTTAATCTTTCTATAAACTAATCAATCATTTGTTGGTCTTCTATCCTCATTTGAATTCTAGATTTGTGTCCTTTATTGTTTTAGATCGATCTCTGGCTTTCTAGATTGATCGATTCAAATCTAAATTCCAATTTGTAAGTCTTTTCACCTTCATTATCTTTCTTTTAGTTTAATCTTTCTATGAACTAATCAATCATTTGTTGTTCTTCATTCTATCTCAATTTGATTATAGCTTGTTCTCTTCTTGGTTTCACTTAATTTAATCGATCGATCGATTTCGATTTTTAGCCTTTAATGTGTAAGTCTTTCCTTTTCTTCTTTTAGTTTCTTTTAATTTGATTCTTTCATATCCCAACTAATTAATTTCATGTTACTTATAAATTCGATTTCAGCTCTTGATTGAATTTTTTGTTTAATAGTTTTTTTTTCTTCTAATCTCTTGGTGACTTTTCTTAAACCAGATCAATTAACTTTATTAATACTATATCTTGTGTTGCAATTTTATTTGATTAATTTATTCAATTCATTCTAAATGTTCTATACTCTTTGATATGATTTTAAAATGTTTATTTTGTAATATGTTTCCTGAGTTAAAAAATTGTATAATTTTAATTTGAATGTAATTGAACTAATAAATTGAAGCTTTTATGTTTGAAAAAGAATAGAAATATGTTTGAAATGATTTTTAAAAAAAAGTATGAGTGTTGAGAGAATGATCTTAAAAACCTTGCAGGGCATCTTGATAAAATATTGAAACTGAGTTTGAAAGAAATTCTAAAAAAATAAACTATTTGTTTTGAAGAAATTGATCAAACTATGATTTGAAAAAATGAGATGTGTAAGAATTGAGAAGTAGAGAACTTTTGCTTTCCACAACGTTTCGGTTGCTCCTCCCAAATTACCTCCAGTTTGGCCAAGGCAGCAGTCAAGTTAGGCACAGATGAGCAATGGAACCACACATCAAACTGTGCACGCAAAGTATTGGATTGCAAGGATATATTGAAGTCAAAAGATCGTGTTTGGAAAAAATAGAAATATCCAAAAACTTTTTGGATAAATTTTTGTTTCTGTTTACGTTTATTGTCTTGATTTTTCTTTTTGGTTTCAAACTTATAACTGGAAACCTCTTTTCTTTTTTTTCTTCAATTTGGAGCTAGTAAACCTGCTTTCTTGGTGTCTTCCTTGCCAATCAGTTTTGTTTATTTGCAATACACTCTCAATACACTGACTCTGACCTTTTAAACAAACTACCAAGATGAGGGGGAGTGTGACAAAACGAGCGCTCAGTAGATCATAAGTACCCAGTTGATGTTATGTTTCACTAACTTACACTTTGATGTTTTTTTTTCACCGTGCAACATGACAGATTGAATTTTTTCGCGGTGTTCAGAAAAAGTCAGACAGACAGGTTTCTCTTTGAAATCATCAATCGAGAGATCAAAGACCATATCTCGAACAAAGGTGTATCTTTTCTGCCATCCCCTTGGTTCTCTCACTCACTTATCGGACTCTTTGTTGTGTTCATGACGCAGATCTGTTTCAATTGGCATTGCCTGTCAATCAAACACAACACTACAACAATGAAAGAAACTTCTCAAATGATAAAGATGAGGAAGCCGTGATGATGGAACAAGCATTTGAAAAAAATTAGATCTTGAATACTTCCAAGATTGACTGGTTGGTGAAGTAAAGAGGAAGCCAGGTTTTATGATTCCAGATGAAAACAAAAGGCATGTAGTTCACTCGATTTTCAAAAACATTATTTGTTATTATGATCTAATTCTGCTCTGTAATCTCCTCCTGATTTTGCGCATCAGCCAATTGCAGAGTTGGGTCAAGTGTTGGGTGGCATTTTGAGGATTCGGATATTGCCTCATTGTCTAGGGCAGCTTCTTCAGCAGTCAATGCGTGTCTATTGCCATGTTTCTTGGTCTTCACGTTCTTTTTGGTCTTCTCTGGTGTCTTGTCCGACTTGACAATAGTGTAATCATTTGATTTGGTATCGTTCAGCCAGGCATCGACTTCATTGTTTGTAAGACAGCTGGGCCCCTTGGATATCATTAGGTCAGTGACCTTGCTGTCAGAGGTTCGATGAAAATTGAGAGCAATGTCTCCTCGGAAGACCTTCTTTTGAAAAGTTTCAGTCAGGTTTGAACACTTGGGGTGGGCATCACCTTTCCCCTGGTAACCCCCTCGAAGGTAGGGGACTGATTGTCCAAAACATGTGGGTTCAGCGCAACAGTCGGTGGAAGGGCGAAATAAAGGCTCTCACCTATTAAATTGTTGAGGGCCTTGGCTAGCTCGGCTCTTTTTTTGGCTTGTTGGGCGGCGGATTCTGATTGAGGCTTGGGGGTCTGACTTTGCGCACGGAGATGTGATGGGGCCTTGGTGGATTCAAAGGTGAAAAACTCAAGAAGGTGTTTTTTCTCTTGCATCCGAGCCCATCTTGGACACGACGTATACTCCACCTGGAATAAGGCTCGGGCAGTGGAGGTATCCGGGTTCCAACATGCGAGCAATAGGTGGAATTGTAAGTTAAAATGATTATTCAAAACGTTAAGCTTGATTGATAAAGCAAAGTAAGTACTTGATTGACAATTGGCAGAATACAGTGAATGAACTTACCTGACGGACAACCTTGTCAATTTTGTGCTTCATTAGTTGCTCGGATGAACGGTTGGTTGAGTTGCCACTGTGTCTCCAGAGTCTTCCCTGGTGGAGGTCGCGGGCAACTTTCTGTACATTGACCAACCCTTTGAAGACCGGTACATGGATTTTGAGTTCTTGCTGGGTTAACGGTTCAAGTCCAGACTTCGGGATATCTTTAGAAGGTTCTTGAATAGCAAGAGATGGAGAAATCCCCAGCAGCGTTTGAGTGAGTGCATAGGCCTTGCTTGTGGCCACACAGAGGTGTTCAAAGAGCCGTGGTGTGAAGACCTCTTGTTGGGACTCAGTGTATGTTGACCACATCAAACCTACAATTTGGTTGCGTTGGCGAAAGCCCTCAGAGACACCTTTCTGTGGCACTACATCAAAAGGGAAGGAGGATAGAGATTAAAAACGGCACATTGATGATTAACTATGGGTGAGAATATGTATCTACTTACTTGGAGTCAAGGTCGCAACAATACTGTAAGTTTGATAATTGTTGTACATATTGGGTTCACGTGCGACCGGTCCTTCTAATCTGTTTTGGAAGGGTCAATGAGTGTCTTGAAAACTTTGAATAGCAAATCCTTGATGATGAAATACATTACTCACAGACCTTCGTCAAGGACTCTCCTGCTGACCTTCAAAGCAATACAGAGCATTGTTTTGTCTAGCTCGTATTGCGATTGAAGGGCCTGTGCCTCAAAGAGGCCATTACCTGAGGGCCAGTTTTTTTGGGGACTTTGAGGCTTGTGAGGTATTTCTTGGCTCGTGCGTGACCCCATTCCAGTCCTAGGTCGTGATAATTGGTCCTGTTTGGGGTGATCTCAGTGGTCTCAGTGGTCTCAGTGGTTGCTTGTTGGCCTAGTTCGGGTTCAGTTTCTTCTTCTTCATTGTGGTCGTTGGTATATTCTGCATCATCGAGGTGTGCTCGTTTGTTGCTGGGCCGCTTGTTGGCTGCTTGAGACTGATATTCAGCTATCCTGCGTTGGCGTACAGTAGTGGTGAGAATGGGAAACCGGCCTTTTGAAGCAGATGATTGATCTTGCGAGCCTGAAGGTGGTTGGTTCCTTCGATTGCCTGGTGGTCGCGTGGGCATGGCCGAGTTGATTCAATAGTGGTTTGAGATCACGGTGTATTACTAGAGGTGGTAGGTTATGAGAGTTATGTGAAGTAGGAATCTTGATCAATATGGATGCTGAGATACTTGAAAGGGTAACATATGGATGTTAGGTTATGAGTCCCCCTTGTGGTGGGAAGATTGAGACTTGCGTAGTAAGACTGAGACTTGGGTAGTAAAATGTCTTTTTGATAGTAAGTTTTTGACTGTACCGGTAAATTTTGAACTTGGGTAGTAAGATTTGAACTGAAGTAGGGAGTTTTTAATTTGTTAGTAAGATTTACACTGTAGTAGTAAGATATATGTTTGAGTGGTAAGATTTTTGTTTGAGCTGTAAGATTTTTTGTTGTGCAGTAAGATTTTTGTTTGAGCTGTAAGATTTTTTTTCTTGCAGTAAGATTTTTGCTTGAGTGGTAAGATTTTTTTTCTGAGTAGTAAGATTTTTGTTTGAGTAGTAACATTTTGTTTGGGTGGTAATTTTATTGTTTGAGTAGTAAGAAATGAATGTGAGGTAGTGAGAGTTTTGTTTGAGTGGTAAGAAATAAATGTGAGGTGGTGAGATTGTAGCTTGGTGCGTGTGGGGGGCAAGGCCCCCCCCTTAAAAAGAAAGGACTTAGAGATATTTTTATGTGGCTATAGGACCATCTATGTTTCTAATTAATTCCAAAGGGCTGTGTTCCAATGCTATTGGATGAAACAGGGTTGAGTATCATCCAATACAGTTGGTGCTATCCAGTACAGTCAGGTGCCGGATAATCATACGTCATCTTTGTTAGCATCAGAAAAGATAAACAAATCAATCATTAGAGAAATAGAAGCGAAGAGAATGTATGGACCTTACACACATGAAGAAAAAAAGAAAGTCTATCCATTTTTTCGTTCTAGTCCTTTGGGTGCGGTAATAAATGGCAATGGCTCTTTACAACCAATTAACAATTTATCATTTCCTAAACCAAAACCTATTAATAGACTATCACTTCACAAACAGAAGCCAGCGATACCATCTGTCAACTCATTTGTTGACCCCAAGAAATTTACGACTACTTGGGATGATTTCAAAACAGTGGCGGTATTCTTCAGAACCTCGAAGGACAAGTGGTTGCTAGCTGTTTTCGACTGGGAAAAAGCTTATAGGCAGATTCCGACGTTGATGAGACAATGGCAATATTCAATGGTTTTATCTCCGGATGGGAAATTGTTATTAGATACTAGGATAACTTTTGGAGGAGTAGCTGGATGCGGATCCTTTGGCAGACCAGCTGATGCATGGAAAAGCATAATGATGAAGGAATTCGATTTAATCAAGGTATTCAGGTGGGTTGATGACAACCTTTTTGTTAAAAGGATTGGTTCAACAACTATGATGATAGATGTAGTAAAATGATCAAAGATGTTAGGAGTAACAACAAATGAAGAAAAATTATGCGAATTTGGTCATGAGCAAAAATTTATAGGTTTCATATGGAATGGATTTAACAAGACCGTTTGTTTACCAGATCACAAAATTCTTCAGAGGAAAGAAGACATAAAAGAATTCTTACAGCCAAATCAAAAAAATTCTTATAATCAAGTCGAGATTTTAGTGGGAAAACTTGTCCATGTGTCATATCTGTTACCACAACTACAATGCTACAATATGAATGGTCTGCATAGGTGGAAGATGTCTTGGTTTAACAAAATCCCCATACAGTTTACACCTCTGGATGTGATAGATGATTTGAATTTTTGGCTAGAGACGTTATCGGCATTCAGGAATATGAGGCTTATTGCAGTACCTACACCGAGAGAAATCAATTGGGTAGGAGATGCGTCTACATCTTTTGGAATTGGTATTTTAATCGGTAAAAAATGGAGTCAATTTAAATTATTAGATATAGCGGAAACCCAGAGACAGAGTGTTCATAGAATCGCATGGTTGGAAACAGTTGCAATTAGTTTGGGTGTCTTGATGCTCTTAAAAATGGATTGGAAAAGAGGTCAAAACTTCATTGTATGGACTGATAACACGACATCTGAAGGAGCTTTGAGAAATTGCAAGTCTAAAGACAAAGACGTGAATGAGGAATGGAAAATTATACAAAACTTGATAATTGGAGAAGATATAGAACTACATCCAATGCGCGCGTAAAATCAGGGGATAACCTAGCTGACGAATTGTCTAGAGGCATATCCCTGGGTCACGACGCCAGCAATAGGGTGTGGCTACCTATCCCTGATGATTTAATCGGAATTATTGCAAATGCAGAGGTGGTCATTCAGAATCAGGGTTATTCTGCGTAATTCTTTGTCTTAGTATGTATTATACCATGTGTTTTTTCAATTTCTCTGATCGGGAATGATCTATGTAGTTATTAGTCCAGTCCCACAGGGTATTCTGCAATGTGTATTTCAGTTTCTCTTGACTACTGGTTTTGGCCGAAATTTAACGATTTTAAGACTTTCAATTGCTGTGAGATGTTTTCAAGAGAGAGGTGTGATGACATTTGACATCACCAACTCCAAAACCTCTTTGCTTCACATCCCGTCCCTGTGATACAGTTGGAGGGTAACTGCTTGATTGGTACCGATCAAAGTTTTGAATTTTGGTTCCTGGAATGACCCTATCATACTTTGGTCTTTAGGGGTACACAAACATGAACACCCAACCTAAAAACCCATGGACAAAACCCATGACAACCTGATTGTTTTTTGGGTTTTGTCCATGTGTTTTCCGCTTTCCCGTTGGACAAAACCCAAAAAACAATCGGGCTGTCATGGGTTTTGTCCATGAGTTTTTAGGTCGGGTTTTCATGTTTGTGTACCCCTTTTGTGCCCAAGTAAGGAACAAAAATTTAACTTTTGTCAACAAAACCTACAACAAATATCTGGGTGAAGGTATAACAGCTCTCTGGTTGTCTGACGAAGGCTGAGTCGAACTGACTCTTGTTTTCTTTGAACCTGCTTGGGATGCTGGTAGATATTCCACTATTTAGACAATGAATCCGACAGCACATTTAGGAAAACTCGAAGCTTTCCTCTCCGGGAAAAGGCGTCTCCAACCTGTCGCAAGAGCAACTTCATCTACTTAACGGATGGAAGTTGAACACCTTGCTGAGTTATAACAGCGCTGTAAAGAAGTTCTTGGCCTACGTCTACTGTACCGGAAAAGTCGAACTTTACCTTACCTGTGACCGCTCAAGAGATCTCGGGCTTCTGCGTGTGGGCCGGGCGTAACAAATTCAAAGACGCGACCCAAGATGTCACCTCCGGGACCCTGGCCAAGTACATCTGTGGCTTACAGGCATGGCACCTTTTCCACAATGTCGACTATCCTGCAGAAGTATCACCCAAAGTTACGGTGTATCTGCGTTCTTTGGCTAGATGCGACGCCTTGTTGCCAGCACGCCAAAAGAAACCTGCTGTGATGATAAAGCACATGGTAGCGCTCCATCACAATTTGGATCACCTTTTGGCCAAGGATACGGCGATTCTCGACTGTGCGATTTGCGCCTTCCGGGGGTTAGCACACCTGGCTGAATTGACCTACGATAATGCCGCACCTGTGTGTACTGAAAAGCACCAAGTGTATTGGATGATACTGACACCTGTATCATCCTATGTCATTGGAAAACCCCCCTTTAGAATTTGTTAGTAAGATAGGTGGTCCTAAGGTGACCTAGAAATATCACTAAGTCCCCCTCCTCTCAGGGGGGGGCCTTGCCCCCCCAACCGCACCAAAGGCAAATCTTACTACTTAAGCAGGAATCTTACTACTGAAGTACAAATCTCACAACTCAAACACAAAACTCACTACTCGTGTAAAATTCTTACTACTGGAATAAGATTCTTACTACTCGAGTACAAATCTCACAACTCAAACAAAAAACTCACTACTCGTGTAAAATTCTTACTACTGGAATAAAATTTTTACTACTCGAGTACAAATCTCACAACTCATACAAAAAACTCACTACTTCATGGGAAATCTTACTACTCGAGTAAAACCTTTCTTCCAAGCATCAATGTTACTACTCAAGTAAGAATACTACTACTCGAGCAAAAATCCTACTACCCAAGTCACTAATTTCACTACGCAAGTGAGAAGTTACTACTTCAGCACCAAAAATTACAAACCCCGCACCGAATTTACTACCCAAGGACAAGCTTTTACTACTTAAGTAAGAATATTACTACTACATTCACATTCTCACTATCTTAAATTCAATACCTCTCCACCGCCCTACCAACATTCACACTCCACCAAAAGTCACGATCTAAACATCCAATTCTCACTACTTGAGTACATCACAACGAAAACCCATCCCACCAGCTATCCCTACTTACTAAATTTTCCAACTAGTCCACTAAATGGACCCCAGCCACGACAAGTATGTTTTCCCAGTACCTGGTATCATCGAAATATATCACAAAGATCGAAGGAGGATGGACGAATATGTGTCAGACTTTCCAGCTACGCACCACGGATATCGAATGCGAATTGGTAACTCACAAAAGAAGAGCAGTGCAGTATCGCACTACAAATGCTACCGCTCAGGCTATCCCTCTGGTCGACCTGCTCTCATAGGCACAACAAAATCAGCTCGTATTGGATGTCCCTTCAAACTAGACACCCGATATCTTTATCATTAATCATCATGGATCCTCATTCATACTCACCTCGGTCACAATCACCCGCCCGATCCCCAAGTCAAACCTCGCAAGAAGCATAAAGACCCCAATGCTGGACCCATCCTAGCCTCAGGAGTTGTTCTTGATGAGGACACAGGATCAGCTTCGCTCAAACCAGCAAATGTAATAACACAGTAAGCAATTTAACATTTCGCTGGATCAAACAAAACGATAAGAAACAAACTTACAACCTTGACCTACCTTTATGTTCAATAGTATGAATTCAAAGATTGAAACCCGCATGACACCTGAAGGAGCCAAACCACTGACAACCACAACCAAATGGTAAGTAAATCAATCACGATTTCAGAAAAACAAGGAAAAAAACTTACATCCTTGATGTTTACCTTGATGTTCACCAGTCTGCAAACGCAAGTCCAACCTACCTTAACAGCAGTCAGTCATCTTCAATGTATTTATCTGTTCATCCAATACGAATAATCCCACCTTTCGATTCGACTCTAAATCTTATCTTCCATTCATTTCAGACACCCACCACTCATCCATTGATCACTGAAAACATCAGACAGCCCGACCAAGTTCTTGAGCCATTGTCCAAAAGTCTTAAATGTACTCCAACTCGACACCGGTACTATGACATCGAAGCCGAACTCAACACGCTTGACTCTCTCGAATCGACACTTTCCACGCTCCGGGCCCAACTCTGCGCTATGGCACCACATCGTCGACAGGCAGTTCTAACAAAACTCCACACCATCATCCGTAATGAAGGCATGATAAATGATGAATGCAAATTACCTACGTCATTTCTGCCAGAACCGCCTGCGCCGGTACGTAGAAATACCTTCAATGTCCAAACGAAGATATCCAACTGACAAACAGAACATTTCATTTCAAACACATTTAGACTCTGCTTCACGATTCAGTAAATGACACCTTGATCTCACCTCACACCTCACCAGCACAAGCCCTTCAAGAGCCTTCAGTAAGCATTGAATCGAGTGGAATCTGTGTGTGCTTCACTGATGATACTCTCATCTCCTCACTGTAATGTACGTAGGTCGAGACGCTGTTTGAACAGTTGTGTGGACCATCCAAAGTTACAACCTCAACATTCAATTATGAAGACCTCATTGTATCCCAGCCCATACATGAGGAACAGCCAACGGTCAATAGGACACCTGACAACTCACCAAAACATCCATCACCTCCAAAGATTACACTCCACAGCGAAACCCAAGACCCACACGAAAATCAGCCTGTACATCTTGAATTAGTAGCATCAGTACCACCAATAGCAGCACAACCCTCGCACCCAGTATCTTCACTACAACCCACTACTAGTCCACGCGTCACCCGTAAACGTACCCGCGAGGCTGGATTATTCCAAAAGCCCAGTGTGATCAATCCAAACCTACCTGCCCTCCTAGCAAAGTACCGCCTTCACCCTTGGCTGGAACCGTATGTCATTGACGTAAGAGAAGTTAAAGGAGATGGCCACTGCGGATTCCGGGCCATTTCTATCTGCATTGGGGAATCCCAGGATGACTGGCCAAGCATTCGTCAAAGGATGGCGGACACCGTTACAAATATGGACGACGATCGGCTATTACCTGAGAATCGCCCCGAAGCTTTGGCTCGTCTCCTCACAACCAAACCCAACGTTATCACTGAGCAACAGCACTGGCTTGGCATGCCCAGCTGGGGAGGCGTGATAGCAATCACTTTTGATCGGCCCGTATTATATTAGGACCCTGGCGCTCATAGTCAAATCATCTTTCCCTACTCCACTCCACACAACATGAACCCTCCGATTGTTCTTGCGTTCGCCGACCACCACTTCACCTCTCTATTACTCGATTTCACAAAGCCCAACTTTCCAGCACCACGTGTCTGCCCCACATGGCGAAGATTTCATAAACCCAAGGCCTCAAGTTGGTATGATGCATGGAAGCCGCTAATTGACTCTCATGCAGATTTTATGAAGGCAATTAATAAAAATAAATCTCGATCCAAAAAGAAAGAAGTTTGTATCCACATTGACTGATTCCAACACTTTTCACATTTCACCATTGAACATTTGCTTATTATGTATACCCCTTTTAACTTGTTGCTTTTGCTCTCACCATGCAGACACCCAATTACAAAAACCGGACAAGATTACAATCTTAATGAAAGCCTCATTATGATTGTAATCCCACTGAAACTTAACGATTGTATATAGTTTGTTTCACAGTCGCTTATATCGCCTCATACCTACCTATACGAATAATGTTCAATGGCAAAAATATCTGATATCTATCCCAATCATGAACACCTTCAATCGATAGAAGGTGTGCGACTAAAGATTCAAATGAGTCATCACAGTCATAGTCAGTGTGAGTCCTCATTATGCTAAAGGCGTCACAGGCAGAAGTCCTCAACTGAACACATTCATAGAAAACTAGCACCTCATAAATCTTTGTGTACCTGTGATGTGATACACAAAGATAAGTGCGTTTTGGTTCAAAATATCTACTTAATTACTAGTAATTCATTTCATCACTTTAATAACTACTTATTACTTAAGTTTTGAGCAACAAATCTTTCAAGTACTAATTATAATTGCAATAAACCCACGGGGATCAACAAGAAGGATTTATTCAATCTCGTTTTAAGCTAGTGCCAACTCCCAGTCAAGATGATTCCCTTCATCTTCCTCTAACTCAATGACGCGTCGGTACTCGGCCTCTTCGTCTGCATCAATTGGTTCCCAGCGAATTGGTAGCATGCCTATGTCTATCGCACTTCCTGAGGTACGCGCGCGCATTTGCTGCCACCCCAGTAGTAAGGCATCGTCTGCTTCAACCCTTCCATATACGTAGTCTTTGGTTGATTCCACAACATCTCTCAAGCCTCTATCCCAATGTGCCCATAGGCGAATGGTGCGTTTACTCAGACCAGAGTGGATAGACTTCCACTCGGGTACTCGCACACCTCCTGCAAAACAAACATCACTATGACTGTTCAGTAGGAAACTTACGTAAGGGTGGCACTTACCAAAGGCTTCGTTGGGCCTTGTCCTATCAACACGAGCTTGATAGTCCAGTGCCCAACCCATGAGCTGCCTCACCTCACGTCCTAGACGTTGCAGCTCTTCTTCACAGGCCACTTTATTTCGAAAGGCTACAATACCTTCCTTCGTCCTCTCGCACGAAGCCCATGGCTCTTTGAGGTGGTCTAGCGCTACTTCATCCCAAAAAGGATCGAGCAGATCCATAGCCAATACTTCGTCCAAAGTAGGTTCCAGTAGCCGTGGTGTAGGTCGATGATGTCGATTGTATTTAGAAGCTTGCCTCAAATAAGTCTCCAGTTTCTTCTTGAGGAGTACACGTTTCTTCTTTCTGAGTTGTTCATTACGTGGCTGCTGGGTGGCACCTGCATCGAGCATGTTCTTAGGGATTAATGCAATCCCCGTTTTCATGTTGTAAAAGCTGAACTACGCACCTGTCCTGATGTCTGCATCAGCCTTCTGCTGAATAACGTCGACGGCAGCCTCGTACAAGAAGCCTAAGGCAACCTGGACACTAAGAATAGCCTTCACTCTGACACCTTAGAAGTATCAAATGGTGAGGATTGAACAAATAAAAATATCAATAATTATAATAACACTTACTAGTGCCTCGCCGAGCATTCAATAGTTCTGCATTGCCAAGTTTGTCCGCAACTGCTTGAATTTGAACTTCAAGGGCAACCAGTGACGCGGGCAGGTCCAACAGTTCATGACGCTGTTCTGCAGTTCGTATGGCCGCATTGACTGCATTCATAGCAACAAGCTTCTTACTGGAACCAATACATCAGTTGTACATTCGACGGATTTGGCGGTGAGGAACATTGACTTGCCGTGCTTCTAGTAGCTCCTCCTCAAGTTGGAGCAAAACCCCTAGCCATTCTCGTTTCTCTTTGGCCTCAACACTCATGCCTTTCAGCTGCAATGCACGCTGTCGATCCCACTGCCCCTGAAAGTACTCAGCCGTATGTGTTGGGTTTTGCTGATGAAGCTTTGCGAGCTTGCTCTTGCTTTCAAGTAGCTCCGCTAGGTATTTTCGGGTTTGGCCACGCATGAACAAAACTGTACAGGGCGCATTACTGTCATCCATGATTTTGTCTCATAGTTCGTACTTCATTTTATTTGTCTGTTGATCATAACAACTTACCTGCTTTCCATCGCAATTCTTCATTGCGATGATGGGTCCACAAATCCAGGCTGACCATCCGGCGTTGCTTAGTGGCATAGCGACACAGTCTTATGAGAGGGGAAATTTTAAACCACACACGCTCCATACCTTCTCCATTGCTTTTGCCCCACCCTCGATTGAGCCGAGGGTTATATTCCAGCTGACAGGACCAGTTGTGAGCATATGTGTGGAAGAGAGCCGTGCCGAGTTTCACCTGCTTAGCATAATTGGGATCGGTGAACACTTTTTTCTACCACGTCAGACATTGTGGGGAAGTGGCAGTAAGCTCAGGCAATTGTGATATGTGACAGTGACGAGTGGCAAACCTTTTTGATTGTTTTGTCCAGGTTACACCCTATATCATATAGAATCCCAATGGTTGTGGTTCCATCTCTGTCGTTTTTAAGCAATTTGAGCAACCACTCTATGAATGCTAGCGCGTTATGCCTCCTGAATTACACAAGACAATCAGTTCAAGCTCTCAATAATAACATAAAGGGCGACATGAACCTACTTTTCGCCGCTTTGGATCAGATTTATATATTGAAGGACATTATCATGTCGACATCCCATACCAAGCAACCCGGATTCATCCATATTCTTGAAATGGCCACGTCCTCTGGCATCATTAGCTGCGGTGTGAGCTTCTGTGCATGGGTCCTATAAAAATCATACAAATATAGCCCGTAAGTATATGTCAACCCGACTTACATGTACACCATCCAGTGGTACATCAGGGGTTCGACTCATAAATTGTTCCTTCGCATTGACCAATTTGGGGTCGAGGAAAATAGACGGGCGCGGGGGATGCCACCCCGGAATGGGCACACTAGCACGAGCATGCCGCTTATGCTGGAAGTTGCCATCAATGCAAACGACGATATGAGGCTCCTCTGGCCGAACGTTGCCAACAGGTGGCCAAAACAACAAGGACAGTTCGCGGCTAGCTTGTCAAGCTCTGAAAGGCCAAGTTTTTGAGCTTCTAACTCTCGGATTTTTAATAGTATCGCTCGATAGGTATCTACGGCCACTGTGAAAGGGCCACGCCAATCCGGAGGCTAATGAACTTGATTAGTCACATGAAAGTCAAATGAATTACATCTTCATTCGTTATTACCTGGCCATTAGGCGTGATTACCTCTGGACTGCCATTATTAAGCACATCGTCCAGGGCTGAACAATAACCTTCTGTGGGAACCGCAAACCGGATCGACTGAGCGTGATGGTGATTAATGAGGCGCACCGAGAAAGCCGTGCGTGGCTGTGAGGGTGAAGCAGCCAGGTATCCCATCTGCAGGAGCCTTTGAGGGTCTGAAAGATCGCAATTTCTACAAAAGGACACTTTCTTGCACTGTCTAGCTTCATTCCGACGTGAGTATGATTAGCATTGTATATAGTTATATAGTGTGAAGGATGATAGGACCTACATAGTAGATCCACAAGGTCGAAGTCTCGCTCAGTCCTCACGGAGCAGGTGCAGGGCTCTCGTAAGTCCTCATTCCAATTGGTTTGGTTTCCCCAATTCGACGTATCCAACCTTCTCCTAAGGAAGGTGGGTAACATAATGGCATACTGCCAAAGCCATTTGTTCTCGTTTGCTAGGCGCTCTGCTAGGTGTAATTCCCTTCGCAGACCGGCCAATATCGGGTCGTTGCCGTTTTGATCGTCCCCAAGACCTTCATCTAACATTGGCATGAATTGATTCAAGTCGATATCATCTTGATCTTCACCTGGTTCATCATCAGGCTGTAAGAATGCATCTTGAGCGTCGGGTAAGCGGGGATCTCTTCATCTCGACGCCGCTGAGGGTTGTCCTGCTGCCTGAGCCTTCTCTCCAAGGCCGCGTCCGATGCCTCTGCATGCTCTAAATCCCGTTTACGGGTGATTTCGATTCGCTGTTGCAAGGGCGTAGATGCCTTGGGTCGCTTAGGTTGATTATTCAGACCACGGACCAGGCGATGGCCCGGCATTATCCTTGAGGAAAATTTTGATTGGTCAGCTTTTTGATGTCATTTGAGTTCAAACGACATCTATCTACGGAACAAGGCCATTGATAGAGTGGTGTGTGAGACATCACCGCTTTCGTAATGGTTTCGAATGTCCCCAATGGGAAGGAATTAAGCGCCTGGGGGATTGTTAGAACGTCAGCTGTCCATACTATAATGCTGATGAGTGTCGATATTTCCTAATCTGGAATTGAATAAGCTTGGCTCACCATTTGAATTTTGGGTTAGTCCCAATTGGTCCACACTTAAAACGGATGGTCCGCTGACCACCGGGGGAGACATCTGACCAAAGCGATACATAGATAAACAGCTGACAAATCAAAATGTATTGCTTTGGTCAGAAACTCATTGACCAATCGCATATTAGAAATTGCAAGTTGATATATGGCCTCAGGCCACTGAGACTTGCACGATTCCAAACCAATGAGGAGTGCAAAGGTATAATCATCAAAAGGTAAAATTTCGGAAGTTTCGATACAAATTGTTGATCGATAATATCACTTCCTGTTGGACATCGTGTGTGCAAACAACAGTGCCAGAGTCAAGTTATCCACTACTGATTTAGCACAAGACATTGTTGGCGATAAGTGTTGTGTGGCAATAGAGGTTGCCACAACTCACTACGTAATACGTTGTATTACGACGTGAGTTGTATTACAAGTCACATATTCACTGCTTTATGTCACTTCACGTAGGTACCTCACAAAGGTGCTCCCTAGTACCTATGTTACTACATAATGGCGGCCTGTTTATGTAACATCACCTGAGCACGTACTTCCAACAACAAACACTAACAAGAGATGTTGAACTTGAAAATCTCTTGGCATAAAGGTAGCTTCCTGTGAGGTAATCTCTGCAGTAACAAATTTTTAATAATGTGAAAAAAATTAAACCTTCTTTAAAAGATCACGGGGCCCCTGCCATTGGGCATCCTCTTATTCCACATATGAACCAAATGGGTGATTCCGGAGAAATCGTTATGGTATGTTGAGTGTGGCTTTTCATTTTGGGAGATTCTGTTTACTGACACATTGCCCAATGTAATCATATTAAATCTAAATGGCATACGTGGTCTAGCACGGGTGTGTTCTAGACAACGGATGTAATACCTTGGTACGGAATGCAAGAGGTGTCAAGGTGACAATGGATAAATCTAAAATTAAAAATCACAATTCCCGGGAGCAATATTCAAAAAATCAAAGACAAAACTACGTAAAACTTTCAAATACAGGGCAAAAACCCACTGTTCTGAAGTAAAAGTCATGGCACAAATCAATTTCAAACAAAGTTACATTCCAATTTTTCAGTAATATTGACAA